TTTTGCTTATGTGGTGCTGAGGAATCGAACCCAGGGCCTCATGCATGCAAGGCAAGCGCTCTACCACTGAGCCACCTTCCCAGCCCCAATGAATAATTTCTTATGCCTGCCTTTTCTTTGATAGACAAGGCTGACATATTCTATTTGAAATAAAAAAATTAAATAACTGCTGTCTTGTGCTTTGGGAATCACAGTGGTCTTCTTAGTAAGAATATAGTATATTCTCTTTTCATTCTAAAGATGAAAATCCAACTTCTCATTTCCCATTTCCTCACTATGCCATCCAAAGTCTACCCTACGGTTGCCAACCTTGTGTTTTTCTGAAACTAGGTCAAACTGCTGTCTTTCTCTGCAAATATTTCTACCCAGCTGTGGTACATAGCTAAGAGATTTTCTGTTCTTGAAAAGCAATTACTGCATGAAGTGACAAGTTCCTTTTTTCTTTTCTGTCTTGAATGGATAGAAAGACATGTTTGCTTTATTTTCCTGCTCTTGCTTAGCATTCTCTGCTTGGGCCACACTTCCATTTCTGACTTTTATTTTCTGGATAGTTGGAGATAAGAGTCTCTGGATTTGTTTCCTTTGGATTTGTTTCCTTGGGCTGGCTTCAAGCTGGGTTCCTCAGGTCTCAGCTTCCTGAGTAGCTAGGATTACAGGTACTGTCACTTGGCCTCCCTGTTTTATTAAAGAGCCCCATGTGCGAGCATTTGGCAATTATCTAAACCAAAATAAACAAGTGATTTCAGCTTCAAAACAGCTTCAAGTCATTGTGCTTTTTGTCATTCCTACATGGAATCCTTCCCATGATTTTCACAATCATGCCAGCTTTCCCCAGTCCTGGAAGGTAGCAAACCAAAGCTTTTGTTTCCTCCTCCTCCTCCTCCTCCTCCTCCTCTTCTTCTTTATCTTCATCTTCTTTCTTTTTCTTCCAGCTTGGGGCTTGAACTCAGGGCCTGGACACTGTCCTTGAGCTTTGTTGCTCAAAACTAGCTTTCTACCACTTGAGCCACAACTCCATTTATGGATTTTGATGGTTAATTGGAGATGAGAGTCTCACAGACCTTCCTGCTTAGACTGGCTTTGAACAACAATCCTCACATTTTAGCCTCCTGAATCGCTAGGATTACAGATTGGAGCCACTGGCGCCCAGCAAGAACCGGTGCTTTACATTGTTTCTACATTTGTCTAGGTCTCATTTGGTAAGAGGCAAAGGAATGTTGGAGAGGGAAATGATAGGGTCACTACAGCAAAGCTATGTGGCTCTCCCATGACCAGCCAATGGCATGCTTCCCAATATTTGCAGGCTTAACATCTCAAAGTAAGCTTGTTTTCAATTATTTCTTCTCTTCAATTTCCCTTTCAGAGAAGGAGTAGGATCTAAGCAAGCGTCTCCTCATCTCTTTCTTGCTGCAATCCATGTCCCCAGATAAAGTCATTTTGATTTTATATTACCAGGGAAAACCATACTTCATACTTACTATTTCTCTAGATTAACCACTGTATATCTTTGCTTAACTCTTTTTTTTTTTTTTTTTTTTTTGTCGATTGTGGGGCCTGAGCTCTGGGCCTGGGCGCTGTCCCTCAGTTCTTCAGCTCAAGGTTAACACTCTACCACTTGAGCCACAGTGCCTCTTCTGGCTTTTTCTGCTTATGGGGTGCTGAGGAATCGAACCCAGGGCCTCATGCATGCAAGGCAAGCACTGAGCCACCTTCCCAGCCCATATCTTTGCTTAACTCTTAAAGATGATGTTTTCAACAAGGTTTTGGTAAATGATGCTTTAGAGGAAAATAAATCATCTTCTACACAAAGCGAGTCAATGATGTGAAGTTGTTGCATTTTTTCTGAGAAGGCAGCGTTATGAGCCGCACTGCCCTTCAGTGATGCTGGGGTTGGCGTGTGTTACTGCACACAAAGGGTAGTGTTGTCCCCCTCTCCCAACCCCAAACACTTACTGTGTTGGTAAGAGCCAGTCACAATCCCAGTGGGAGCAGTAAAGAATGTGCCAGTTAGTTGAGACAGCTGAGAAAGAACTTCTATGCCTTCCTCTATGCAGAGAAAAATACTTGCATTAGTTTACAATAGGTCTCTCTAGGTTCAGTTAAATATTACTTACAAACAATAACGTCCTGGCACAAAAAAAAAAGCCAGTAGCAGTTTTTACCTTCCATTCAATTCCTCTATCAGCATTGAAAACACAGCTAAAAAGCTGGGCCCTGGTGGCTCACACCTGTAATCTTAGCTACTTGGGAGGCTGAGATCTAAGGATTGAGGTTCAAAGCCAGCATAGGCAGGAAAGTCCATGAGACAATTATCTCCAATTAAGCCCCAGAAAACCAGAAATGGCACTGTGGCTCAAAGTGGTAGAGTGCTAGCCTTGAACAAAAAATCTCAGGAACAATGCTCAGGCCCTGAGTTCAAGCCCTACAATCAACAAAAACAAATAAACAAAACCCACTAAATCCAGAAACTGAAGAATTGGATTTAGCAGAACTAAACAATAGGTTGAGAAAAGATAGCATAGAGTTAGAACTAGTGTTTTTGTTTTTCAAATATGGAATATTTATTTAGCCCAAAGACAATTATGCCTACTTTCTTTTCTTTCTTTTCTTTTTTTTTCTTTTCTTTTCTTTTCTTTTTGTTTTTTGTTTTTGTTTTGTCGGTCATGGGGCCTGAACTCTGGGCCTGGGTGCTGTCCCTCAGCTCTTCAACTCAAAGTTAGCACTCTACCACTTGAACTACAGCGCTACTTCTGGCTTTTTCTGCTTATATGGTACTAAGAAATGGAACCCAGGGCCTTATGCATATGAGGCAAACACTCTACCACTGAGCCACCTTCCCAGCCCCAATTATGTCTATTTTCTAAAATAGTTTGACTCAAAGGAGACTTTTCATTGTCAGAAGACAGAGGTAAAATAGTTAAACACAGGATGGCTTCCAATGGCTGAAATTTAGTGTGACATCAGTTTTACCACCTCCTTGATGACACAAACATAGATTGGACTATAAAATTCAATGTGTCTATTGAATTACTTGGGCTGACTAGTGTAGTGAGTAATGTAGTGAGTAATGTATTTCAGTTCTTTGTGGTCACTGAATAAATGCTTTGAACTGCTTGGAACCAGAGGGTAGAGTCGAAAAGCTTTGAATATCTCTCACTGGGTGTCTGGTGTTTTTATTGATGGTGAAATCAAGAGAGTCCATTCGCTGTGGGAAGAATAGTCTTTAAAAGAAAAGATGTTGGAAAAATTAGATATCCATATGTTAAACATTGAATATCATATACATGGGTTCCTGGAAGAATGGATAGTAAGAATCAAGAATCATTCTGATAGGGGCTGGGAAGGTGGCTCAGTGGTAGAGTGCATGCCTTGCAAGCATGAGGCCCTGGGTTCGATTCTCTCAGCACCACATAAGCAGAAAAAAAGAATCATTCTGTTTGCTGTTTTTTTTGGGGGGGGTTGTTTTGATTTTTTTGGCCAGTCTTAGGGCTTGAACTTCTTTTGCTCAAGGCTAGCACTCTACCAGTTGCCACTTCTGGTTTTTTCTGATTATGTGGTACAGAGGAAGAGAACCCAGGGCTTCATACATGCTAGGCAAGCATTCTACCACTAAGCCACCTTCCCAGCACCACTTATGGGAGCTGAGGGACAGTGCCCAGGCCCAGAGTTCAGGCCCACAACCGACCAAAAAAAAACAAAAAACAACAACAAAAAGAATTGTTCTGGTAAAATGACATAAATTGTGAATACAGATTAATTAATTAAAATTAATAATAGATTCCACGGTGAATTTGATTGATGTTTCTGCAGTTTCCTCTCCTGCGTGAAGTCAGCTCTATGCCGCAGCGGCAGCCACAGGCAGCCTTGGTGATCATCATCCATGCTTGCCTTCACTCAGCTCTCCACTGGCTTGTTGCTTTTGATTATTTTATTTTCTTGGTGCCAGTCCTGGGCCTTGAATTCAGGGCCTGAGTGCTGTCCCTGAGCTTCTTTTGCTGGAGGTTCATACTTTATGATTTGAGCCACAGCTCCACTTCTAGATTTTAGTAGTTTATTGGAGAATATGTCTCATAGATGTTTCTGGCCAGGCTGGCTTCAAACTAGTAGTTTATTGGAGAATATGTCTCATAGATGTTTCTGGCCAGGCTGGCTTCAAACTTGTGATCCTCAGATCTCAGCCTCCTGAGTAGCTAGAATGACAGGTATGTGCCACTTGGCTTTTCCATTGATTTTTTTTTCAATTGTGGGGTCTGAACTCTGGGCCTGGGCGCTGTCCCTCAGCTCTTCAGCTCAAGGCTAGCGCTCTACCACTTAAGCCATAGCACCACTTCCAGCTTTTACTGCTTATGTAGTGTTGAGGAATTGAACCCAAGGCCTCATGCATATAAGGCAAGCGCTCTACCACTGAGCCACCTTCCCAGTCCCCTCCACTGATTTTAATGTTATTGAAGTACCAAAATATTCGCAAGTCCTTAAGGCCTATAGGTGACTTTCCATGAGGAATCAGAGGCCCACAAACCCGCCTAACAGACAAGTACTGGCCTCGTGTCACCAAGTTCCTGCTCACCCAGGGTCAAGACACCACGGAATCAGTTTCCTCACACTGCTGCACAGCCAGCTCCCCGACACTATGCAGCCCGGTTTTAATCGTGTTCTTTCATAATACACAGAAATAATGTCAGTGATTCTCACCACTAGTGACTCTGTTCCTGCAGAAATCATTTCCTCTGGGCACTATCCCTCATCCCCCTTTCCCACACAACGTGGCCACGCGAGGTATAAACTGGCAAAGGGAGACCCGGATGCATTTCACACCATCGCCAAACATCACCGTGGAGTGGGCGTGGCCCGCCCCCATCCTGTGCCCGGAGCTGACCAGATGAGCCAAGTGGCACAAAGATGTCCACGTGTCCTCCTTCTTCCTCAGTGGCCACAGAGCTCCCTAATTTCTCCCAGAAGTCTCTCACTTCAGGCTTCAGTAAATTCTTAATAGCAATTTCATAACCTGAGGGGAGGGAAGACAAAAACATCAGAGTCATTTTCAACATTATTATGAACGGAACCATACCAACATCATCCACCCTCCCATAAGATGCCGTGTGCCAGGCTGGGTCGCTAAGGTGAGGAGGACGCCGCGGCCACTGACTCCTCCATCTCTCTGGGTTGTTGGCATGCAGCGTTCTTGGGCATAGAATACAACATTTCCGCCTGCACCATACAGCAGAGGAGTCCCCAGAGATTCACCTTATGAGGTTTAATAATGCTACGTAACAACTAGCACTTTTCTATCTGTTTAACATTTCTCTCTCTCTCTCTCTCCTCTCTTCTCTCTCTCCTTTCTTCTCACTCTCTCTCTCTCTCTTTATCTCTCTCTCTCTCCTCTTCTCTCTCTCTCTCTTTCCTCTCTCTCTCTCTTTCCATGCCAGTCCTGGGCTTAAACTTGGGGCCTGGACACTGTCCTTGAGCTTCTTTTGCTCAAGACTAGCACTCTACCTCTTGAGCCACAGCGCTACTTCCAACTTTTTCTGTTTATATGGTACTGAGGACTCAAACCCAAGGCTTCATGTATGCTAGGCAAGCACTCTACCACTAAGCCATATTCCCAGCCCTTTTATCTCTTTTTATCTAATTAATATTACTTAACAATGGTTGAACTGGGTGCCGGTAGCTTGCACATATAATCCCAGCTACTCAGGAAGTTGAGATCTGAGGACTGAGGTTCAAAGTCAGCCCAAACAGGAAAATCAGTGTGAGAGTTTATCTCCAATTAACCACCAGAAAACTGAATATGGCGCTGTGATTCAAACTGGCAGAGCACTAGCCTTGAGTGAAAAAGCTCAGGAACAGTGCCCAGGCCCTGAGTTCAAGTCCCCATGACCGCCAAAAAAAAAAAAGATGGAGAGTAATTTTCAAGTTGTGTTTTTAATCATAGCTTTAAATTTTTTATCATGAAGATTATTCTACTGCTGGGGTTGGGAAGGTGGCTCAGTGGTAGAGCACTTGCCTTGCATGCATGAGGCACTGGGTTCGATTCCTCAGCACCACATAAGTAGAAAAAGCCAGAAGTGGCGCTGTGACTCAAGTGGTAGAGCACTAGCCTTGAGCTGTAGAGATGAGGGACAGTGTCCAGACTCAGAGTTCAAGCCCATGACAGATTAAAAAAAAAAGAAAATTATTCATAAAGCCAAACACTCCTTACAAAATCAGCACCAAATAAACAAGTCAGTAGTGTTCTTTGCCAATGGCCAGCCTACCTTTGAGTAAGTTGATTCCTCTGCTGTCTCCATCACTAAATATCCCAACACTGTGTGCCTTCTGGCCATGCAGAGCTCTGTCTACAAGACAAAGCAGGCTCTCCAAGGTCATGCCGCTGTGTTCATACACCACAGCAATGACCCCTGCCTTAGTACTGTCCACCACCATCTGCAAAACAAAGCGCCAACTCTGGGAATCATACCCACCATTTGAACATCTTTGTTAATGAAAGAAACTCAGTAGATATAGAATATGCTGTCATTTCTAGAGACATTGAGCTTTCTCCTTATTGGTTTCTCCTTAAATTATTTTATTTTTTACCTAGTCATAAGAGGAGAAAGTTCAGTTAAGTTTTAACTCCATCACCCACAGATAAATAGTGTTAATGGTTTAGATTATTTTCCTCTAGGCATCTCATCTTTGTATACACAATGCACAGAGACATATACAAAACTTAAAAAAATTCTATAATAGGGGGCTGGGAAGGTGGCTCAGTGGTAAAGCGCTTGCCTTGCATGCCAGAGGCCCTGGATTCGATTCCTCAGCACCACATAAGCAAAAAGAAAAAAAAAAGCCGGAAGTGGCGCTGTGGCTCAAGTGGTAGAGCGCTAGCCTTGAGCTGAAGAGCTGAGGCACAGCACCCAGGCCCAGAGTTCAGGCCTCACGACCGGACCCCAAAAAAAAAAAAATTCTATAATAGATTTTCTAAGTTGATTTAAAATCTGTCCATGTAATATTAATATTACATAGTAATGTTAAATATTAATAGTAATGTTAAAATATTAAAATATATAACCTCATCATATAATGAACAAATTTTAATGTAATGGCATCTTCTTTAAATAGATCACAAAATGGAACTACTAACATTCTTTTTTTTTTATTTGTGAACGTACTGTACAGAGGGGTTACAATTACATGGGCAGGATAATACGTACATTTCTTACCAAGCATTGCAGCCTCCTCCTTTGATTACCCTTCACATCCCTTCCCAGCCTCCCCCACTACTAACATTCTTGAGAGCTGGTGGTTACATGATATTATTAAACACTTTGGGAATTCTAAAAAAAAATTGAAACTATGTTTTGTCTGAGCAACGACCTTATAGCCTAGTTCAGTGTTGCACTCACAATCTTCCTTGCCAAAGCCTCAGGAGGTACTGGGATTACAGATGTGCATTACCATACTGCTTCCTCCTTCTCTTCCTCTTCTTCCTCCTCCTCTTCCCTCTTCCTTCTTTTCTTGTTTTGTTTTGTTTTTGCCAGTCCTGGGGCTTGAACTCAGGGCCTGGGCACTGTCCTTGAGCTTCTTTTGATCAAGGTAGCCACAGTGCCACTTCTGGGTTTTTCTATTTATGTGATACTGAGGATTGAACCCAGCACTTCATGCATGGTAGGCAAGGACTCTACCACTAAGCCACATTCCCAGCCCGTCTTTTCCTTTTAGACATGATCCCATAAAATAATTCTCAGTAAGTGTACTTGCACACTAGGTATGTAGTTTATGCCTCTAGTCTTGCAAAATATACTGATTATAGTTTTCTTGATGGCTTCTAATATTTTCAGGAGATGAATTGCTTTCTTTTTTTTTTTTCATTAGTCCTGGGGCTTGAACTCGGCGTCTGGGCTCTGTCCCTGAGCTTCTTTGTGCGCAAGGCTAGCGCTCTACCACTTGAGCCACAGTGTCACTTCTAACTTTTTCTGAGTAGTTTATTGGAGATAAGAGTGCCATGGGCTTTCCTGCCTGGACTGGCTTTGAACTATGATCCTCAGATCTCAGCCTACTGAGTAGCTAGGATTACAGGCGTGAGCCACTGTCACCAGGCTTTGAAATGAATCATTTCCATACACAAAAGACATATCCTCTAATGTAGATGAAAAACCCACTCCAAAAGGGCTAGCCAGTAACACAGTGTGTACCTCATATGCAGGAATCCGAGATGATATTAGTATGACATGCAGCTGAGAAGTATGTGAAGAGTTATCCTCATTTTCACAAACTCCATGCAGTGTTTTCTTCGATAATAGAGGATAGGAATGGCTTCCAGAAACATTGCTTCTGTATGGAGCAAAGGCGTGTCAGTGAAGTTCTCATTTCCTGCTAACTTTCACTTGTAAGCACCCACATCCTCCAGATGTCAGCCATACTGAGCAAGGCCTTGGGGTCTTAGGCTCTCCCTGCAGTTTGGAGAAATGGAGCCACATCTACCCTGTAGGTCTCTCCCCTTCCATATAAAGGGGGTGGGAAGGATCTCCTGGAATTTACTTAGCAAAATTAATGTTATTATATACACTTATAAAGCCAGAATTTCCCTGACTCAGATAATAAAAGAGAATTATATTTGAATGTACAAATATAAATAGGAGCTACGTTTAGATCTGCTTTGATACTGCCTCTGAAGTGACTCCTAAAGTCTCATAAGTTAAAGGCTTAGTCCTCAGCCTGGCAGTATTGGGAGATGGTGGAAGGCAGTTGTACAATTGGGTGTTTAGTGCTCCCATCATGATATACTGCCCCGCCACAGGCCCAAAGCACTGGGCCAAATGGCCATGGACTGAGGCCTCTGAAACCATGCTCCTTCTAAACTGGTCTATCCCAGGTTAGAGCAGGAAAATTAACACAGTTACCATTTGGATGCTCTTATTCCATAAGGATGGCTTCTGGGAAAATATTACCTTTGTTCCAATAACTTCAAACAGAAAACATACTCCCTAAGGTAGTCTGTTTGCAGGACTAAGAAGATATTAAATAGAGGTTGAAATGTCACTTGTTTTTTTCTCTTCAGAAAACGTTTTCAAGAGTGCTATTCTTGAAAATGAACTATTTCTTAGACTTGAAACCACACAATTATACAAGCTCCTTACTGCTAGCCAAACTATTCTAGAATGGAGTCTTGGTGACACCAGTACTCTAGAGCTCCAAAAGGTGGAAGTTTACTCACCGCTTGGGCAAAGCGTCTAAGGATGCCAAAACGAGCTGTTTCTCCAGAGCTTCACAAAGTCCCTCTCGTTCCTGCCTGACCTGGGAGGGCTGTGGCTGGTGGCTGAAGCTCACCAGCCTGGAGCAGCACGCCCCACTCCCCCAAGGGGGACGAGCTTTGAATAACTGCTCTGAAAAACAAACATTAGCTTCTCCCAGCCATGCCAACATAGATAAAAGCATCAGAAATCAAGCTGAGACAATGTTCCATTGACAGTAATTAGAGCCACTTTTATAGTCTTGGTTAGTGTTTTGTCCCTCAAAAACACTGTCCACTAGGGCAGGGAGATGACAGTCATTTAAGGCCAAGAACCAAAGCACAAGCAACTCTTCCATGGGGCCCATTCATGCCTCAGCTGCTTAACCATTTCTGCCCTTCTTGGCTCCAGGTTAATGTCTCATCCGGAGAGCTCAAACCTGCTTATTGCTTACTTTTACACACTGTGCACACTAGAAGGCTTGGTGTGCACCATTCCTTGTCCTCACTTTCTTCTTGTTCTTTTTCAAAAAATGCCATTGCTCCTTCATCGATTCCTCTTGTCATGATTCCCTTCCCACCAATCTCGGGCTGTCTGTTCTGCGCCCATGTCATACCTTTTGCGTGGATTTCGCTTTTGGTAACACTGGGATTTGTACTCAATTTGTACACTTGCCAGGCAAGTACTCTACCACAGGAGCTACCCCTTAGTCCTGTTTAGACTTTCCTCCTTCTGCTTTGGTCTTCCAAACCCAGGAGGAACTGGGACTGATGTCGGTCGCATATATCTCATCTGACACTTTTGTATTTATTATAAATAGCTTAAAATATAACAATAAAGAAAAACAGAAGTAGCCACGAGCAGGTTTTAAAGCAAGCCCCACGTGTCATCTGTCCCATGGTGACATGGGCACCACATGGGAATTGGTGTGGAAATCCATTTGTTTTTACAAAATACTTGGGGAAACGATAAAGTCTTTAAATGTTACTTACTCTTATGTAGTGCAATTTTCTCCCAGATAATTTTCCTTAGGTACTTTTCTCTTCGCCTCTCCTGAAGCTCCTCATCCTCTGTTTTGGGTTCATTTAGTGTTCCATACACAGCAGCGGCTTCCCTGGGGGTTAGCCAGTCCAGATTGGATACACAAGCAATATAATGGCGCTTCCAAGCACCATACTCATTATCTGTTGGAGTATAGGGCAGAAACCATCCAAATCTAACACATTTGGGCATCCACAAGCAATCCTGCAGGAAACGAACAAGAAGGAGATGAGTTGACACTTTTTTTTAAAGGATAATTTTCTAGCAATAACTTTTTCAGGTACATATCTGTTACATTATATTTCTGAGATAAGCTGGGAGCTGGTGGCTCACATCTGTAACGCTAGCTTCTCAAGAGGCTGAGATCTGAGGATCATGGTTCAAAGCTAGCCCAGGAAGGAAAGTCTGTGAGACTCTGATCTCCAATTAACAATCAGAAAACCTAAAGTGGCACCGTGGCTGAAAGTGGTAGAGTACTAGCCTTGAGTGAGAGTTCAGGGACAGTGCCCAGGCCCTGAGTTCAAGCCCCACAAACCCCCCCTCCCAAAAAAAAACAGATTTCTGGGGTAATTTACATCTAAACTTTGAGAAATACAAACTTTATCTTACTCTATAGGAACGCCGTTCCTTGATAAATGCATACATACATACATATATATATATATATAAATACATATACATATATATATATATACACATATGATAGTCATCTTTGTAACACTTACCCATGTTCCCTTAGCATCTGGTTACTTTTACCCTATATTATGAGAACTCAGCTTTTAATACTGGTATGATAGTTTGTTTCAGAACAAGAACTTTTACTGAGCCTATTCTATTACCAATAGGTTACTATGCTGACATAAGAAAATAGTAATTTCGTGGGTTTTTGTGTTTGTTTTTTGTTTGTTTGTTTTTTGTCAGTCATGAGGCCTGAACTCTGACCCTGGGTGCTTTCCCTCAGCTCTTCAGCTCAAGGCTAGCACTCTACCACTTGAGCCACAGTGCCACTTCCAGCCTTTTCTGCTTATGTGGAATCGAACCCAGGACCTCGTGCATGCAAGGCAAACACTCTATCATTATGCCACCTTCCCAGCTCCTGAAAATAGTCATTTCATGTGGTTCTATCTAATCAGGTATCTAGACAAAGCATCATAAATACTTTTTGAAGCTATGTGCTGATGGCTCATGCCTGTAATTCTAGCTACTCAGGAGGCTGGGGATTGAAGTTCAAAGTCAGCCCAGGCTGGAAACTGTGTGACTCTTATCTCCAATTAACCACCAGAAAACCGGAAGTGGCACTGTGGCTCAAATGGTAACGTGCTCGCCTTCAGCTGAAGAGCAAAGGGACAGTGCACATGCCCAGAGTTCAGGCCCACAACCAACAACAACAACAAAAAAGATCTCAGAGTAAAGGGAAAACTAGAGATAGCCTGATCTTACTTTTGCCTCAGAGTATTTATCAATTGCACAATAGAGCTTGGTAGAATGAGAAGCTGAGTAGAAGATTAGAGCAGATAAACTTGGAAGCACCAAAGACTTTCAGGGATTCTCATATATGGTAAAAGGACCACCAACTGAGATTCGGGACCAAGTAAAGGAGATCCTTTCCAGGAAGAATGACAGAAAATTACACAAACTATCCCAAGGACTGAAGCCAGCTTTGGAATAGCTCTTTCTGATTCAATTTACATGGTCTGTTCCTAGCCAAACCAAATGCCAGAGGCTAAGTAAGCTCTCTGGAGGCAGATAGCACCATCCAGAATACTCAAGTACTATGGGTGTTTTATACACATATCTGGTAGTCAACCAAAAACAACAAGAACACACAATTAAAAAAAGAATTTTTTGTTTCTTCTTTTGTTTTTTAGTAACCATATAGAAACCCTTAAGAAACAGACAAATGTAATTTTGAGACATAAACTTAAATCAACATAAATGTATGTATGTATGTATAATTTATTTGCCTAAAAATATAAATGGCCAAGTGAAAATTTTGGCAAAAGAATCAATTAATGATCTAGAACTTAAAACAAAAATGGAAATTTAAAATTCAGTGAGTTTTACAAAAGATGAGTCTCAAGCTAAAGAAGTCATTAGTAAACTGAAAGATAGATAAAAAGAAAATCCAGATTTAAACACTGAAAGCCAAGAGAATGGGGGAAAAAGGCATGTAAGAGTACACGGAACACAATGGGCCAAAATGAATCATGTAAGTATTGGAATATCAGGAGAAAAAAGGCATAGAGTAGAAGCTATACATGAATAGATAACATCTCAAAATTTCCCAAAGCTGATGAAAGACATTGGTGCTGTGGCTCAAGTGGTAGAGTGGTAGCCTTGATCAAAAGAAAGCTCAGGGATGGTGTCCAGGCCCTGAATTTAAGCCCAGGATCAAGACTGGCAAAAAAAAAAAAAAAAAAAAACCTTGAGGCCACCTTGAGCTACAATAGTGAGACCTCCATCTCAACAAAAGAGCAAAGTACAAGATAGGATAAATATAGATGTATAATACACCTATATTCCTAAGTACATAATAATAAAATTGCTAAAAACAAAAGACAGAAAAAGTCTGAAAACACAGCTAGAGATAAGGCATACTGCCTTTAAAATTATGGAAAAATAATGGAAGCCAGTAGACAGTGAAATATTTTCAAAGTTTTTAAACTAACTTCAAACCTACAATTCAAATTCACCAGGTGCCGGTGGCTCATGCCTATAATCCTAACTACTCAGAAGGCTGAAATCTGAGTGAAGATCATGATTTGAAGTCAGCTTAGGCAGAAAAGTTTATGAGACTCTAATCTCCTATTGACTAACCAACCAACAAACAAACAACAAAAAAAAAACCATGAGTGAAGCTATGGATCAAGTAATAGAGTACTAGCCTTGAACACAAAAACTCAGGGACAGCACCTAGGCCTTGAGTTCAAGCTCCAGTTTCAGCATAAAAAAGAAAACAAAGAAAGAAAAATAAAAAGTATAGTTATATATAAATATAGTTATGAAGACTATGTAAAAGAGTAATAGGGGTTTTTTTTGGTTCTTTTTTTTGGGGGGTCCGGTCGTGGGGCCTGAACTCTGGGCTTGGGCACTATCCCTCAGCTCTTCAGCTCAAGGCTAGCATCTACCACTTGAGCCACAGCGCCACTTCTGGCTTTTTTCCTTTTGCTTATGTGGTGCTGAGGAATCGATCCCAGGGCCTCAGGCATGCAAGGCAAGCGCTGTACCACTGAGCCACCTTCCCAGCCCCGTAAAACAGTAATGGTTTTATGAGGAATGTCTGTGTATTTTATATTTTTGTATATATACACATATATGTACATATGTGTAAATACATACATATATATACATATTTCTGCCTACAATTGGCTATCTGTATCCAAGGTAATTAGGTATTATAAGTAATCTAGAGATAATTTAAATTTACAGGAAAGTTCAAAATGTACATGATTCTCTGGAAAGATGATATTACTTTATATAACAGACTTGGACAGCTGTGGATTTAGGTATCTACAAAGGGAGTAGAGTGGACTCAAATCAGCCCCTGTATGTCCTCAAGGGCAGCATTTATCAGACACACACACACAATCACACACACACACAATCTCACACACACACACAATCACATACTCAAACATTTGCCAACAAAAGCACAGAAACTGAGCGGAGGCTAAGTGGAGTTGAAGGGTTATAAACTCCTCGCATTGTCTTGGAAGTGACAAGATATTGAATATTTTGAAATTAAAAAAACATTTCTGCACAGCCAGGCATCAGTTGCTCATACCTGTAATCCTACCTACTCAGGAGGCTGAGACATGAGGATCCCAGTTCAAAGCCAGCCCAGGTAGGAATGTCCATCAATCACCAGAAAACCGGAATTGGTGCTGTGTGTCAAGTGAAAGATCACTGGCCTTGAGCTGAAGAGCTGAGGGACAGCACTCAGGCCCAGAGTTCAAGGCCCACAGCCAAATAAGTAAATAAATAAATAAAATAATTCTGCATTATTGGAATAGTAAATATCTCCTCAGGTACACTATAAATTATTATATTCACTTGTCTCCTTCCTCTTACAGGTACGTACGCTAACCACACTTTGGGCACCCTCAGCATTGTCTTCGAGGAAGATGGATTACAATTGTATTTGTACTATCATTAAGAAGTGGCAGACAGTAAACCTGTTCCGTTAGAAACTTCCAGGGCCAGCTGACTTGAGCAGCTGCACACAAGTCTTTCGGGTTCAGAAAGGAAAAGATGTACAGAGCGAGGCGGCGCGGGAGCACGGTACAGAAGTCCACTCTCGCCACTTGCTTCCTTTCTGCAAACCAGTCTTGCACAAACCTAAAGGGAAAGATATAAAGTTTAGTTCAAAGCACCAACATGCGACATTAATTAAAAATCCAGTAGAAATATCGGTCATTGTTCTTTCTCCAATGTTCTACCTGTAAACATAACTAAATCAAGGGTTGCCAACATCAATCAAGGATAGATTGCTTGGTTGGACTATTTTGGTGCCAATTATTTGTTCAGAACCAAGCCACCAGATTGTTAGTTATATGTATATAATAACTGCTAGATCAAGAAGATTGGAGGGCTGGGAAGGTGGCTCAGTGGTAGAGCACTTGCCTTGCATGCCTGAGGCCCTGGGTTCGATTCCTCAGCACCACATAAGCAAAAAGAAAAAAGCCAGAAGTGGTGCTGTGGCTCAAGTGGTAGAGCGCTAGCCTTGAGCTGAAGAGCTGAGGGACAGCGCCCAGGCCCAGAGTTCAGGCCCCATGACCGGACCCCCCCAAAAAAAAGAAGAAGAAGAAGAAGATTGGAGCTGAGTACAGTGGCTCACCTCTATAATCCTAGCTATTCAGGAGGCTGAGATCTGAGGATCACAGTTTAAAGTCAGGGAAGTACATGAGACTCTTATCCCAATTATCCTGCAAAAACCTGAAGTGGTTGAAGTTGGAAAGTGCCAGTTAACCACCAGAAAACTGCAAGAGGAGCTGTGGCTCAGTGTAGTACAGCCTTGAATATAAAAAGCTAAGGGACAGGGCTGGGAAGGTGGCTCAGTGGTAGAGCACTTGCCTTGCATGCATGAGGCCCTGGGTTCGATTCCTCAGCACCACATAAGCAAAAAGAAAAAAGCCAGAAGTGGTGCTGTGGCTCAAGTGGTAGAGCGCTCGCCTTGAGCTGAAGAGCTGAGGGACAGCGCCCAGGCCCAGAGTTCAAGCCCTGCGACCGACAAAAAAAAAAAAGAAAGAAAAGTGAGAAGAGAAGAGGGGAAAGAAGAAGAGAAGGAGGAGGAGGAGAAAGAAGAGGAAGAAAGTTGGAAATAATCCAGACAGTGATAAATCCAGCTTTTCCTTGGAAAGTTCAGTGAAATTGCAGATAACTGTGAGCAGTTTCACAGCAGATTGGATTTTGCCTCAGTTCTGTTAAGTGAGAACCCAGCACAATTCATTTCCCTTAGGCCTCGGGAACTATGGAACTTTCTCCCAGTGCTAAGTGGCTACTGCTGTCCAGTGTGACTGTGTCCTACAGACACAGATGAACTCACTGAAAGAAAAGTCTCACCTAAACAAATCTTATCCTGAAATGGTTCTTTCATTCTTCCTCTTCCTCCTCTCCCTCCTCCTCCTCCTCCTATTGCCAGTTCTGGGGCTTGAATTTAGGGCCTGGGCACTGTCCCTGAGCTTTTGCTCAAGGCTAGCACTCTACCACTTGAGCCACAGCTCCATTTCTGCCTCTTTTTTTTGTAAATAAGGGGCGTCACACATGCTAGGCAAGCACTCTACCACTAAGTCACATTCCCAGCCCGGTGGGTCTTCTTTCACATGAATTTCTACTGAGAAATAAAAGTGGCATCTCTAAGGATGAGGAGACCTTCACCATCTTCATGAATGGGCTGCTGAGCATCCAACAGGCCCAGAGATGGCCTTCACCACTAACTCCCCTAACCTGTGACTGAAACTGGAGCCTCACCTACAAGACTCAAATCCCCCAAACTGTAGATTCACTGGTGAAACAGTCCTCAGCAAGAGGAACATTTTAATCCAGCAAAATGGTGAAAAAAGAAACAGAATCTACTCTTCCTTCACAGTAAGCAGAGAACTGAATGAGCTCTGTGTGTGTATCTGTGTGTGTGTGTGTGTGTGTGTCTGTGTCTGTGTCTGTGTGTGCATGCCTGTCCTGAGACTTGAATTCCAGGCCTGGCTGTTGTCCCTGTGCTCTCGAGCTTAAGGTTAGCATCTTACCAGTGAACAACAGCTCCACTAGTACCTTTTGTTTTGGTAAATCATTGGAAATAAGATAATAAGAGTCTCTCACCTCAGGCTCTCGTGGCTCCTACCTGTAATCCCAGCTAATCAGGAGGCTGAAATTTGAGGATTGTAGTTTGAAGCTAGCCCAGGCAGGAAAAGTCCCTGAGACTCTTATCTACTCAGAAAACTACTCAGAAAAGGCCAGAAGTGGTGCTGTGACTCAAGTGGTAGAGTGCTAGCCTTGAGTAAAAGAAGCTCAGGGACTGTGCCCAGGCCCAGGGTTCAAGTCCCAGGATTGAGGACAAAGCTAAAAAAAAAAAAAAAAAAGAGCCACACATTTTCCTGCCTGAGCTGGCTTTGAACTATGATCCTCATATCTCAGGCTCCTGAGTAGTTAGAATTATGTGTGAGCCACCAGCACCTAGCACCTAGCTCAAGGAGCTACTTTTTAAAGTAAAACTAAACACAAACATGTTTTATAGTTCTTTGTTTCTAGTCTCTGCTGCTAGCCAATTATAATAATTTCAGCAAGAAGAGAAAACATCTCAGTTACAACTAAAAAGAGTGCATGAGGAGGCGCAGAGCCGGTGGTTTATAGTAAGCACACTGCGGCTCATTGCACTGCAGTTAATGTTGCAAAGTAAGAAACCCGTGAAGTGAGCAAATGAACAAAATGTGCTCTGCTCATTTCTTGTGACAAAGAGAGTTTCATTTAAATAATTCATGGTGATGCTTTGTGGTGTATTACGGAAGGTACAATGTGTACTTTCAAAAATAACAAAGCTCAGTAATATGGGACTTGAGTCTAATTCCTTGCTCTTCAATTTCTGATAAGAAGTAAAAGAAGCTGCCAACACTGGAAGCAAGGCTGGAAGACCAGCTTGGAGAGGTGGCCTGGGGCGGGGCCGAGGGCTTGGCACAGGCCCCTCCTTGTCTAGATAGCACCTCTTCATTGCTTCCTGTGGCTTCCTGCAAAGCTTTCTGGACAGTATCTGGTCTGAAGTGCAGTTCATGTCCCAGTTTCAGTCCCTGGTGGGAATTTCAAGGTCACTTCAAAGAGATGACACCAGGGCTTGTACAGTAACCCACCAAACCTACAAAGTGTCATGGAACAGTGAGACAAGCTGGCAGTACCAAGTATCTATCTACAACCAACGCTCATGTGCCTTTGGAACTAGCAATCATCTTCTAGGTGACTATCCTAAAACACTGATTAATAATATGTCTAGCCAGACGCCAGTGCCTCACACCTGTAATCCTAACTACTCAAGAGGCTGAAATCTAAGGATTACAGCTTCAAAGCCAGCCTGGGCAGCAGAGTCCATGAGACTCTTATCTCCAATTACCCACCAAAAAACTGGAAGTGGAGCTGTGGCTCAAAGTGATATAGTACTAGCCTTGAGCACAAAAGCTCGGGGACAACACCCAGGCACTAAGTTCAAGTCCCATGACTGACAAAAAGAAAAAGGGAAAAACAGAGTATGTCTAAGGCCAGGCCAGGAGCCTGTGCTTCATCCCTGCGATCTTAACCAGTCAGGCTGATGAGACTCAGAGGACTGTAATTTGAAACCAGCCAGGGAAGAAAGGTGTCTCTGAGATGTCATTTCCAATTAACCAGCAAAAATCCAGGCTGGAGGTGTGGTCAAGTGAGAGACCACTAGTTGAGCACCAGCTTAGTAAGTGCAAAGCCCTGAGTTCAAACCCCAGTACCGTCCAACTTTTTTATTTATTTATTTTTTGGGGGGTCTGGTCGTGGGGCTTGAACTCTGGGCCTGGGCGCTGTCCCTCAGCTCTTCAGCTCAAGGCTAGCGCTCTACCACTTGAGCCACAGCGCCACTTCCGGCTTTTTTCTTTTTTTGTTTATGTGGTGCTGAGGAATGGAACCCAGGGCCTTATGCATGCAAGGCTCTACCACTGAGCCACCTTCCCAGCCCCCGTCCAACTTTTTAAAAAGTGGGCCAAATGGGGCTCACTGCATTGTTCATATGGCTTGTATTAAGCTTGGAAATTTTCCAAAAGCAAGTTCAACAAAGTCTCATAGATAATTTTCATTGCTAGGAGCTTAGGGCTTGTATTAAGTTTGGAAAACTTCCAAAAGACAGTTCAACAAAATCTCATAGATAATTTGCATTGCGAGGAGCTTTTATCCAGTAACTCTCTGTGAGCAGTGTGCACAGGAGAGAGACAAAGACGTTGGCTTGGCAAAGACTGGGGTTTAAGATGAAGTGATGAGAAGCTCGAGGAGGGAATGGACAGCACTGGAATGTGAATTGTGAACAGGCGGCCACAGCCTCTAAGTGGGGCAGTCAGCAAGTCTTGGGGAAGGCAGACTGGAAAAAAAGAGGAACGCCAAATGGACTGGATGAGCCTCAGGTCCCTCATCCAGGTCTGGCCTTTGGCTCCGCACTGACTCATTGGAAGAACAGAGTGTGGTAACAATGCTTCCCTCAACCCCATTCCAGACATGCCAAGCCAGTCTTCTATGACTGAGACTCATGTACTGCAGGTGACTCTGACCAGCCCCACTTTCTCAGTGAATGTGAACTTGACTTCCTGTGGGCAGAAGGAAGAAGCAGTGGACGCTGATGTCCATGCTGATAAATACAAAGCAGGGGAATACATGGTCTGATGGGAACAGATAATTCCTCTTTAACTCAGGCCCCAAGTTAAAGGCTTAAGCTCAGCCTGAGGGCTGGAAGGACGCTCTGATAGATGAACACGTTATCGTTTTCCTTCCTTGTTTTCAGAGGCAGACTCAAGTTGAGATGACCAGAGAGGGACTAGAATGAGACTACTTTAGTCTACCTTAAACCTACTTACAAAAACAATATGGAGGGCTGGGAAGGTGGCTCAGTGGTAGAGCGCTTGCCTTGCATGCCTGAGGCCCTGGGTTCCATTCCTCAGCACCACATAAGCAAAAAGAAAAAAGCCA